CTTCCTCGTGTTGTCCAGGGGTCCATGCAGTGCCGGGGGCCAAACATAGGCCTCGATGTGCTCCAGCCTGTTGAGCTCTCTCCCTGGCCTAGATCATATTTTTTGGTTTGTTTTTGGGGCACACTAACTGTGCTCAGGGCTTACTCCTGACTGTGTGCTCAGTGATTACTTCTGGTGGTGCTCAAGGGACCATAGGGCATGCTGAGGATTGAACCCAGGTTGGCCGTGTGTAAGGCAAGCATCTTACCTGCAGTGCTATTTCTCTTTCCCTCCTAGATTATATTTTTATTAGATCATATTTTAATCTCTTAAGGCATTGCTATATTATTTACTATAGGTGCTGGGCCAATTATTTATTTTTTTAATGGTTACAGTATTTTATTAAGATCACTACTGTAGGATGGTTACAGTTATATTTTTTTAATATTTCTTGAAGTACGCCTTAAACCATTTTTAGGGGGCGGTGTGGGTTTGGCTCACAGTGAGCAGTTCTCAGGAGCTACTCACAGCACAGTACTTGGGGGTTGTTCTCAACAGTGCTCTGGAGGACTGTGCAGTGCCAGGGATCAAACCCAGTCCTCCCACATGCAAAGCATATGCAGTATCCCTTTGAGCTCTCTCCCTCTTCCTGACATTGGAATTTTGATAGGATGGCACTATCAAAATTATCAAGATTTAGTCTGCAAATTGTTTTTGGTAATATTTTAGCAATATAAAAATGTTCATTGCGTGAACATGGGATATCTTTATGTTTCTCTGCATCTTTCATTTCTTTTAATCACTGTCACTATCACCCCGTTGTTCATCGATTTGTTTGAGCGGGCGCCAGTAACACCTCCATTCTTCCCTGTCACGTGCTAATGTAGCCCCATGGCATATTGGGGGCTTTTTCAGGGTCAGGGAAATGAGGACCATCATTGTTACTGTTTTTGGCATATCAAGTACACCACGGGAGATTGCCAGGCTCTGCCGTGTGAGCGGGATACTCTCGGTAGCTTACCAGGCTCTCCGAGAGGGATGGAGGCTTTTGGGGCAGCCTCTAATCACCTTTACAGGTGTTCCCAGTCAGGTATATATGCGGGCAGGATGCTCTCAATAGGCTGCTGGGTTCTCTGAGAGTGAGAACTAGAGAATAAGAGGTTGCGTGGCTGCATTGGCAGCCACGCACTTCCGGGAGCTTGGTTTTATAGTCTCTGGTTTTATAGTCTCAAGATGGGGGATCTGGGTGGAGGAGGCCCAGTCCCGATCCGAGCAGACTTGGAGATCTTCTGGACCCAGCCACAGCCATGTTGAGACCACTCTCCACATGCTCAGACGACTCTCACGCATGAAGGAACCAGCAAAGGAACCCAAGTGTGCAGGACCCGGGGCTGAGATCTACAAGCCTGCTTGGATAGGGACTGGGCCTCCTCCACCCAGATCCCCCATCTTCAGTAGCTAGGCATTTATGCCCACAAACTGTCATGTAACCCCAATCAGTGGCCAGGATCCGGAGACTATAAAACCAAGCTCCTGGAAGAGAACAATGTAGAGTCTCCTGCACCCGCACCTGGCTGTTCTCACCAGGGCCCCTTGGAGGGGGGCAGGTTGAGTTCCCTCTCCGCCCCGAGCAGAGTCCCGGCAGCTGAAGACCTCCGGAACCAGCCACAGCCATTCTGAGATCACTCTCCACATGCTCAGACGAGCTTCACGCATTAAGGAACTGGCAGAGGAACTGGTTATTATTTTTTAAATAATGTCTTATAATTTTTCCAGGTGTAGGTCTTTCACCTGCTTTGTTGTTTATTTGCTTTGTTTATTGGACTGCTTTTAGCAGTTCTTGGAGGCTACTTTAGTACAGTCTTCAAGGGCCACTCCTTGTGGTTTCTGGGTCACCATGCATTGCTAGAATCAAACCGAAAGCTCTCACATGCAAAACGTGCACTTCTCAACTTTAAACTATCTCCCCAACCCTCATTTCATTTGTTAATTATACTCCCAGGTGTGTAATTCTTTTATTTAAAAAAGGGGCCATACCCAGTGGTGATAGGTTAGCCATTATTGCCAGGACCCTTGGTCAGAGCCTCATAAGTGCCTGGAATATATTCTACCAGTTGAGCCAAATCCCTAGCCCCCTTTTAATTTTTTTGTTTTGGGCCCATACCTGGTGGTGCCCAGGGATCACTCCTGGCTGGGACTGTATATGGTGCCAGGGATTGAACCCAGTTTGGCCATGTGCAAGCCTTACCTACTGTACTACCACTCCAACACTCCAACCTGCATTTTATATTTTATTTTATTTTTTTTTTCTTTTTGGGTCATACCCGGCAATGCACAGGGTTTATTCCTGGCTTTGCACTCAGGAATTACTCCTGGCAGTGCTCAGGGGACCATATGGGATTGGGAATTGAACCTGGGTCAGCCGCATGCAAGGCAAACGCCCTACCTGCTGTACTATCTTCCAGCCCCCGCATTTAATCTTTTTTTTAAATGAAAGCGTAAATGGTATTATTCTCTTGCTTTCTTTAACTCCAATTCATTGTTGGCTTATAAGAATGCAGTATATTTTTGTTTGCTGAGCTTTTTGGTTTGGGGGCCCAAAATAATAAACAATGGTGTTCAGGGCCTGCTCCTGGCTCTGCACTCAGGGATCACTCCTGGTTGGGCTTAGGGAACCATATGTGTTCTGGGGATTGAACCCTGATTGCCTCCTTTCACGCCCAGCAAAGGTATCAGCTCCTGTTGGTGGATTGCTTTGGAGACAGGAAAATTGGATTGGGGTTCAATTTTCTGCACTAGACTCATTATAATCACTTGGTGTCTGAGCATAGCACCCTTCTGTAGACAGTTTTGTGAATCTGTCTGTCCTCTAGAGCCTAAAGACCAGTGTCCAAAATCTTGGTGGTTCTTTTTGTCAGAATCCATGGGGAAATGATCTCCAACTCCCATGTTCGTTAAAAATCGCTGTTTGTCTGGCTACGGTGGCTCAGGCACTTTGTGTGAATTCTTCCTTTATAAAAGATCTCATTCTGATCTTTGATCATATGATCATATTCATATGGGGTGCCAGAGATTGAGCATGGGTCAGTTATGCAAGGCCCTCTCCCTGCTATACCCTCCCCAGCAAGTGGTGCTTATGTTTTTGAGCTTTTTATTTATTTATCACCTTTCAGAGTCATAGTAGTCAACCAGTATAGATAAGCTTACATAGTGTATTATTGGCATGACTAAACATTGTAGATTTTATTAAACTTATTTTACATTGTATGAGCAGTCTAAAAATAGACTTCCTATCATTTAGGTTGGCATCTCTCAGTATCTCATTTCTCATTCAAATAAATTTTAAAGGCATTTTATAAGCCTTAACTGTGGGTCTCATCTCTTGTTAGGCTGTGTTCTCAGTGGGAGATAGGAAGGCAGTAATTGAGCTCTTTTCATTGAAATAGCAAAATTTGCTGGAGGAATTATCCTCCTACAAGGTAGCCATCTGCTGTCGATTTAGGATTTCTGGCAGGCACAAGTGCTGCAGAGTAGCCTGGTTCTGAGAAATAACCAGCTCTCGATGGAAGTGATTAGGACCTGACACAGAAATACAAGGACTCCCTGCTGTGACCCTTCCCGTTTTACTTTAGATATTTATTCTAGTTTTTTTCTTTTTTTCTGAGAATCTTTTATTGGGGATGGGTGAGGGGGGTGGTTGTGCTGGGGACTTAATCCAGAGACTCATATATGCAAGAGATGTGCTTCTTTTAGGAACCTTTAAAAGAAGAATCATATGATACAAACAAAATAGTTTGAAGTTTTTTATCTACCAATGAGATTTCTTGGCCAAAGAAATCAGAGACTTTCTATCTGTTATAAACCTAGGGCTGGAGAGAGTTCAGTGGTCTCATATCCATGCTTACATGCAGGAAGTCCAGATTCCAGCCCCAGCAACATATGGCTCCCAAGAGAAGTACCAGAAGTGACCCTGAAGCACTGAGCCCCATGAGAGTAGCCCCCAATTGTGTGTGGTCCCCAGAAATAGGGAAAGGGCAGAAAAGATAGCTCAACAGGCTGTTCGTCATTCTTTGCATGTAGGACCCTAAACAGGGAGCCAGGTATAGCTCTGAGCTCTGCCAGGTATGCCCCCCCCCCCCAAATAAAAATAAAAACTATCTTTCTGTGCTGCTAGTCTTGCTACCTTTCTAAGTTATCACTTGATCACTTGATCCCCCATTACTCATTGATTTATTCGAGCGGGTGCCAGTAACGTCTCCATTCATCCCTGTTGCATGCTAGCAACAAGTTATAGAGAGTATTATAGTGTCCTTGGGCTGGAGCAATAGCACAGCGGTAAGGCGTTTGCCTTGCATGCAGCCAACATGGCCGACCCGAGTTCGATTCCTCCGCCCCTCTCGGAGAGCCCGGCAAGCTACCCAGAGTATCTCGCCCGCACGGCAGAGCCTGGCAAGCTCCCCGTGACGTATTTGATATGCCAAACACAGTAACATCCAATGGAGACGTTACTGGGCCTGCTCGAGCAAATTGATGATCAACGGGAGGGCCTTTACCTTTACCTTTACCTTTACCTTTATAGTGTCCTCGAATCATACTACTTCCCAAAAAAGATATTTGTAGCTTCTCATTAGCTGCAAATATCTTTTTTGGGAAGTAGTATGAGGGGCGGAGGAATCGAACCGGGCTCAGCCGGGCTGGCTGCATGCAAGGCACACGCCCTACCGTTGTGCTATCGTAGCTCCTAGGAGAATACATTTTAGTAAAGTACTTCCAGGTGAGGGCTCTAACCTTAGATAATAGCCCAACCAGATTATTTTTGTCTGCCCATAAAAGAGACTATTTAATGCAGCTTCATCTGCTCTTAGTTTAGCTGTTTTCAAAGAGAAATTGTGGTAAGAAAAATTGTATAAATATCATTTCTAAAATATTAAGTGATCTTAGCTATGTTTCACTCTGAAAACCTAGGAATGAAAAATACTATTTCTCTAAATCTGATCACAATTTCTCTTTTTGGGTTTCAGGAACCAATAAAATCACGTGCTCCACAGCTCCATTTAGAGTACAGGTTTTATAAACAGCTCGGCAGTGCAGGTAAGTCCATTTTCTACATTTACTTAGCATATGGTAAGCCATATGCTGTAGCACTAAAATATGAAGATTTTCCTGTCTTTCACTTTTTTTTACTAGATTATGTATCAGATAGGTAAATAAACATAGTGGCCTAAAATCTACTGTTCCTGGCTTGTGGGGAGCAGTGAGTTGGTTGGGAATCTGTGATGCTGTGGCCTTGCCCATAGAAAAGTGTGAATGCATTCACCTGCCTGAAATGTACGTGGGCTAGGGTTTTACTTTTAGGTAGCTTATTCACTTTCATTTTTTAAAAGAAGACTTATTTTAGGCATTGTGATTCACTGTATTGATAGTGGTGAGGTCTCATGCAGAAGCATTATCTTTTCATTTTGTTACATATATCAAAGGAAAGCATGAGGAATCAGTAATTTGCTGACTTTATGCTGTCATGGAGACTATATCTGGGTTTGGAGGTTACTGGGGATCAAAAGTCAGGCCTTTTGTGAAGCATAGCTCTCCTCTGATGTGTAGATCCAAGCCTTAAATACCTCTTTTAAAGATATACCATGATATGACCCAAGGGGTACTATAATCGTCCAATGGGTGGTAGTAGACTTAACTGCATTTGGGGGGCACTTCCTGTTTGTTCATGTCAGAAAGGTAAGTTCTGACCTGGAGAGATGGCTCACTGGGATGAAAACATGGGAGACTCAGCTTTGATATCCTGGCACCATGTGCTCTCTCAAGCACTGTTAAATAGTCATCCCTGGGGGCTGGAGTGATACTACTGTGGGCAGGGCATTTGCCTTGTATATAGCTGACCAGGGTTCGATCCCCGGCATCACATATGCCCCCAACCGCTTCCAACACCGTCAGGAGTAGTTCCTGAGTACAGAGCCAGGACTAACCCCTGAGCATTGTCGGGTATGACCCAAAAAGACAAAATAATAATAATAATAATAATAATAAAAATAAAGCCATCCCTGAGCACCACTAGATATGACATAGAAATTAAAAAAAAAAAGCAGGTGGGTTCTGGGGGCCAAAATATAGCTCAGTTTTAGAGTACTTTCCTTGAAAGTCTGAGAGCCTCTGTACAGGCATCAAGGTATAGGGAGGTAGATTTCCAGGGTCGGATTGAGTAATTTTTTTTCTGAAGGGGTGTGGTAAGTAAATAAATTTGGGGACCTCTGTGTAAAAGAATACGTTTCAAAATATAACACTTTTGGTTTATTTGTTCTCATTAACTTGTAAAATATTTATATGACTATAATAAACTATGACTTTTGAGGATGTTTTTGTAGTTTATAATTTAAAAAAACATTATTTTTATCTACAATCTCTGAATTCTGAAATCTCTTATCAGTTTCTAGAATAATATGACTAAGCGAATGTTAGCAAACCTAAGGAAATTTCACTCTAGGATTTTTTGTTTATAATGTTAAATTATTGAGCACTTGTTTCATTTTTTTGAACATTCACAGACATTTCTTTTTGTGCTTTTTTTTTTTATTGTGTTAGGGTTATGTGACTATCTAAAATGTGGTTTCAGGTGTCACTATAGATGGTACTATGGAAGGAGTCCTGGTTTCATTTCCTACAGAATAAAATGAATTATGTTTGGGTTTGGTTTTTGGGTCACACAGGGTGGTGCATGGCACACACCCCATGCTACTCTCTCTCTCTCCGGCCCCAAAGAATATATTGAACTCTTTAAGAACCCCTCGCCATGGCAGTAATCTGTCATAGTCACAACCTTAGGATGGGTCCAGGATGGGAGTTTGTCTTTCTCAGAAACTAATGTAAATTCTTGCTCATTGTAGATTCTCAGAATATATTTGTTCAAAGATTTATCCTTTAATACAGACTGCTACTGTCATAGGTTTTTTTTGTTTGTTTGTTTTTGCTTTTGGGGTCACACCCGGTGATGCACAGGGGTTACTCCTGGCTCTTCACTCAAGAATTACTCCTGGTGGTGCTCGGGGCACCATATGGGATGCTGGGAATAGAACTTGGGTTGGCTACGTGCAAGGCAAACACCCTACCCGCTATGCTATCACTCCAGCCCCTACTGTCATAGGTTTTAAGGTGATAGCTCAATGGGCTGAGCTCATTCTTCACCTACAGCTGACTGGATTCAGTCCCTGGAATCGAGTAGTCCCCTAAGCACCTTTGGGTGCAAGCACAGCTGGGTATGGACCCAAAACAAACAAAAAAGAAATGGTCATCCATTTCTGCTTGACTGCTTCTAGAGTTTGCTGTTTTCAAGGGTCATTGTAGGAAAATCCAGCATATTGTAGGTTGGAGGGAGTTTTAGTTCACCTGAGATGCTCAGTAGTTGTTTCTGGCTTGTGCTCAGGAGAGACTCCTAACAGTGCTCAAGAGCCCATGTAGTGCCAAGTACAGAACTAAGGACCTTACATGCAAGACATGTGCTCTACCTCTTGAGTCCCATTCTCAACCCTGTCTATCATTCTAATTTATTTTTGGTTTATTAATTTGGTGGGGGGCATGGAACATATGGCTGTGCTCTCAGGGCTTACTTCTGGCTGCTCAGGGGTCCATATGGAATGCCAGGGATTGAACCTGAATCAGGCGAACATCTTACCCACTGTACTATCCCTTTGGCCCCAATTTTTATTTATTTTGGTTTGTAGGCTATACCTGGTTGTAGTCAGGGGTTACTCCTGGCTCTATACTCAGGGCTACTCCTTGCAAGACTCAGGTAACCATATTTGGTGTGGAACATTGAATCCCAGTTTCATTGAGTGAAAATCCATTGCCTCACCTATTGTACTCTCTGTCCTGCTCAGTAGACAACATTTTCATATATTAGCTGCTCTCAACCAAGGTTGATTTTTATATTAATATTTGGGTGCTGAATCTCTTCAGTATCATCATATTTTTATTCCATTATTAATATTGGAGTATTCCTTAATCCTGGTTCTGTTGGTATGATTATGTATGGAATATTTTCCTTGTTATTTTATATCCCTCTCACCACCTTACCTCATATGACTATAAATTTCTTTCTTTTTTTTTTTTAGTTTTTAAATTTTTATCAGTGAGACATCATGAGGTACAGTTGTAGACTTACAAATCTTTGTGCTTGGGTTTCAGTCATACAATGATCAAACACCCATCCCTTCACCAGTGCCCATTTATGACTATAAGCTTCTTGAAAACAAGATTTGTGCTTTTTTTAGCCTACTCTGTCTGCTGTCTCAAGTCCTAGCATAACCACAGTAGTAGGCAGTTGGAAATTATTTGGTACCAATAACAAGTTAGGAAGATTTAATAAGCATACCTTTTTAGATTTTTGCTAAGTTATTTTAAAGATATTTCTTGGGAATGACCAAATAAAAAAAATTCTTAACAACTGGAAAAATAGCGCGTGACTTAGAGCACCTGCCTTGCAAGCATGTGGTTATGCATTCAAGTCCCCAGTGTCCCACATGCAACAAACACAGTTCTGGCCACTCTAGTCTCTGATTCGCCCAACTACACGTCCCTGGCACGTCAAGTGATTTCCAGCTGCACTGCAAACAGGTATGTGTTAACACATAAAAAAGAGGTGTGATTTCCTCCAGCAAGCATCAGCACAAAAAAAAGGTGTAAGCATTATGACCAGGAAGTCAGTAAATATGTGTGAGCACTGAGCTGAACCCTGCTGCATACCTCAGCCATATCTTGTGAGACTCAGATTTCACGTCCCTGTGAGCATGTGTGCAAGCATCACAACTAAAGAAGTACAAATCTGCCGCTGATGTACAAGTACCTTAGCTTGCAACCGCCAGCGAGCGCTGTAGCTAGAAAACCATGCGAGTGCCACAGTCAGATGTGTGTGTACCCTAGGCACCACAGCAACAATGGTAAAAGGAGGCGGAAGGGAGGAAATTATACAAAAAATTAGTTTGAAAGTGGTAAGTTGGCAAGAGAGTAGACGTGATTTTGCCATAAGTGGGAGCATCAGCGCGAGAAGTTTTTAACTTTTTAAGCACAAACATGCTTCTCTCCTTTTTTCCAGACAGAGTTGTAAGTGTGACTCATCAGTAGTCTCTGTTTATAGATCCAGAGCTCAATATGGCACTCTCATCAGAGCCAAGGTGATGTGGCATTATTAATAGACATATGATGACCAAGATAATATAATCAGTTATTTTTCTCACTCATGCATTGCTGTAGTAACAATCACACAGTGATTTTAAAAAATACTTAGATATCATATAAAGATTATTTTTTTTGTTGTTTTTGTGTTTTGGGACACACTCAGCTGTGCTTAGGGGTTATTCCTGTCTCTGCACTCATGTGGTCTCATTGAGCTCATTGGGATTGGGATTAAGCTCAGCTTGGACATGTGCAAGGCAACCCACTGTACTGTTGCTCTGACCCTTCATCTAAAGAATATTTAAAAGTTTATTGTGACAGGTTTATTTAAAGAATTGATTAGTGTTTTAAAAAATTGATGTGTTTTAAAAAATGTGTTTTAAAAAATTTGAGACAAATGATTCTGAATCTGAAAAACTATATGATTATGTGACCAGAACTAGAGATTTTTAAAAAAATTGTTGTTGTGTTTAGTTTTTGGGCTATACCCAACAATACTCAGAGGTTACTCCCAGCTCTGCACTCAGGAATCACTTCTGGTGATGCTTTGGGGGACCATATGGGATGCCAGGGATCGAACCTGGGTCAGCCACTTACAAGGCAATTGTCCTGCCTGCTGTACTATTTCACTGGCCCCCCAGAGATAGGATAATAAATTCTGAAAATACGAATTTTTGTGTTGACTTCGCTGGTTGCACTATATCCTTCTGTGTCCAGGTCTTACTCATTACCTCAGAATTTTGATCCCATGTTGCTCTAATCTCAATCTGGAAATGCATATTAGTTCTCTGCTTGTATGTAAGCGACGAAACGGAAGCACTGAATGATTAGTAGACCTGGGTCAGGTTGAGTTCTTCCTCGTTGTCTGCTTGACTGTTAAGGCCTTCCTTTCCATTCTACTCTCTTCTCTAATG